TTTTTCTTGTATGCAGCTTTTCACTGCTGTTTGTGCAAGTCATTGGGCCTGGGACCGCGCCTGTGAACGCGACTGCCAGTGCACTTTCTTTGACCGGACCCGGTGTGCATCATATGATCGTCATTGTTCATAAAATTTCAAGTGAAAGCTTATATTGTGTTCGAAAGTCATCTAAGTTTTTAAATAAATATAGATTGCTGCACCCCGTACACCGCAATACTTGAAAGCATATGAGCGTTGGGACTGGCCGAATGAACGTACCACTATGTACAAGATTTCCTTTTAGGCCGCCAGGCCTACTTAGCGATCCGCTGACTAGAATCGCAAGATATAGACATGGGTTGCATGGGCAAGCCGCAGGGCTCCGTAATTTCGCCCATGCTTTTTCACCTCGTCCTTGTCGAGTTAACACGAAAATTACCTGAGATAGAAGGCCTCCACCACAGCTTATTCGCCGATGATATCACCCTCTGGGTTGTCAATGGGAATGACAACAGATCGAGCAAACGTTGCAGGAGGTGGTCGACGTGGTACAGGACTACCTTTGCGACACGAGCCTCGAATGTTCCACGGCTAAATTGGAGCTCCTTCTCTACAGACCCACATGCAGGGGACGTAAACCCAAGAACAACAATTCTTCCAGCGAGTGTGCAGACGAAGGTATTGAAGTAGTAGCATCAGACGGCGCCCTCATCCCACAAGTTAACATTAGAGTACTGCTCTTGCACCTGTCAGCCAATGGCCACACCGTTGAAACCATACACAGAGTAGGTGGTGCTGTCAATGGAACGCTCCGGCTACTGCAACGAATGACAAATCACTATAGCGGAATGGAACAGTAATACCATTCCCCTGGCACATGTTTTCGTAATGAGCCAACATAACGTACGTTGCCTACTATCTTAAGTGTCAGGAGACTGAATAAACCAAGCTAGACTGTCTTATCCGCAAGGCGTACAATCATGCAATAGGCTTACCAATAACTACTAGCATGGAAAAACTTCTCAAGGTGGGGTCGCACAATACCCTAGATGAACTAATCGAAGCACACAACATCAGCCAGTACAAACGTTTGTCGAGAGCCAGAACCGGTCAACACATCCTTGAGAGACTGGGCATAAACTACCATACGCAGCGTGGCGAAAAAGTCAGAATACCCAGACATATTCACAAGCGCATCGTCGTTCTGCCGTTGCCCAGGAATATGCATCTTACTCATCACATCAGACGGTGCAACAGACACACACGACATCTGGAAAAAAAAATTCGGCAACAGTAACGACACCGTTTACATAGACGCGGTCCATTACGAGTGGCAACGCAGTTTCGCTGTAGTGATCACGAATCACGCAGGAACTTGAATCGCGAGCGCTGCAATACGCACGGAAGAAACAGAGGTGCCGAAGAGGCGGCGATAGCCCTCGCGATAGCTACAACGGACGCCAAAGTGATAATAGGCGACTCTCGGATGGCCCTACGCAACTACGCCAGCGGCAGGATCTCCCGCGTAGCAGCACAAATTCTCAAAATTCGTGAAGGCAATAGTTGTCACAAAAATGACAATTTCTTCGTATGCTCCCCCGCCCACACAGATCCTCCACTCGCGAGCAACACGACTGCCCACGCCGCGGCTCGACGCCTTGCATGCCGAGCTGTGGTGCTTGCCGGCAGTCCCGATGTCTCACAGACATCGAGAACAGTGCGGGAGTGGACGTGGGGGGATCGCATGACAACTTCCAGAGACATCACCCAACACTACAGACTGAACAGATGCAAATATCCACCACCACACAAAAAACTAAGCAAGAAACAGGAGGTCGCCTGGAGACAAAGACTCACATGCCGAACCAAGTGATCTTACGCCTATGTTACCCAGACATTTATACATCCGACGACATTAAAGCGTATGAAGCAAGAGCGACACTGCAGCACATGCTGTGGGAGTGCACCGGGAGCGTGCAGCAATTTCCTATGAACCGGGTAGACATAGCATTCTCGAACCGTGAGGTGCGATGGGCGGCGGCTCTGCTCAGCCCCGACCTCGCCGATCAACTGTGGGGAGTCCGGCATGCCCAGGAAGCCGCCCGTGTCTAAGGATTTCGAGGCCATCACCTAGGCTGGGGTGCATGTAGCCCCACCCGGCTGAATACCGCCGGACAGTGGCAACAAAGTTATTACTCACTCACTGCTGCCCCCCGTACTATGTGCCACGTCCTTATTTGCTTTTTAGTTGCAGCATGCCATGCTGTAATAAAAGCCAGTCAAGCTAACGCATTGTACCAAACAGGTTTAATGCTTCTGTAGCAATGTCGCAATCTTATTTGAGTGCTAAAACGGAAGGTTCGTTCTTGTCATGTGCAATTCGCCGACGCCCGTGTAAACGTCCTTATTGTAGAAGAAATGCGGGACTTTCGACCAATCGCGTATGGCAAGGGCCAACGTTGTATTGTACGGCATAAGACAATGCATGTCCGATGCACGTCTGGTAACTTCAGCAATATTCCCAGGTACGTCCAGTGTTCGTACTGAAAAGGCTAACTGCAGCTACATCCTGTGTCCGAACGTACAATTTTTGTCACCCATCGGACATTCGACGGATCGTCAATTTTTTGCGCATAAGGGTCCTGCAGACTACTGTAGTGCAGCTGGCGGATTTATGGGGATCTCTATCAGACGTATGTATGTACAAAACTGGTGTAGGTAGATGTCCACCAGATTTTTGTGGCCCGTTGGGCTCCTGTCCAACGATCTGGAAAGGATGTATGCAGCTTTATCGAACTATGTTCCTACTTCCGACGCCTCATAAAAAAATTTTGCGCACATAGCGAGGCCTTTTACACAGCTCCTCAAGCAAGACGTTCAGTTTTCATGGGGCTTCGAAGAGGATTCTGTGTTCTTGACTCTCATTACTTTTCTCACTACTCCTCCAATTCTGGCACACTTGAAGTGGCACAATTCTGGCACACTTCTGGACATAGCAGGTGCAGGGCTAGCCCAACAACAACGTGGCCGTGATTGCGTTGTTGCATAATCCAGCTGCCTTCTATCTGCCCCTGAACGTAATTATTTCATCAAAGAGCGTGAGTGCTTGGCTCTCGTTTAGGCAGTAGCGAAATTTCGGCCCAACCTATATGGATGCCCATTTTCGGTAGTTACCGACCACCACACGCTCTGCTGGCTGAACTCTCTGAAAGATCCGTGGGGGCACCTTGGTTGCTGGGCTTTGTGCCTGCAAGAGTTTTTCTATTCGGTTGTCTACAAATCTGGCCGCCTGCATCATGATGCCGATTGCCTCTCCCAGTACCCAGTCGACGATCCTGACGACACCGACGCGCCCACGAAGCATTCCATCTTGTCAGTGTCCAACTTCTTTAATATTGGGGAAGAGCAGAAACAGAATCCATCGCTGCTTGACATCATCAGCGCTTCCCCAAAATACGCTTCAGTCCACCACTTTGTTCTTCAAAAGGGTGTCCTATACTGCCGCGATTCCCAACCTGATGGGCCTGACCTCATTGTTGTGCCTAAGCATTTGCGGCGCTGTGTCCTCGCCGAACTTCGCGACGCTCCCATAGCTGGACACTTTGGTGTATCTCGCAGGTACGAGCGCTTACGGCACCATTTCTTCTGGCCAGGCCTTGCTCACTCGGTACGCCGATCCGTCGCCCCGTGTGAGTTATGCCAACGTCGTAAAACACCATCGTCGCTACCCGCTGGCCATCTTCAACCAATCGACATACTCACAGAACCATTTTATCGAATTGGGTTACAGCTGCTTGGTCCTTTTCCCACATCTACATTGGGAAACAAATTGTTAGCCATGATTGCAGATTACTCTACATGCTACTCTATTACGCAAGCTCTACTGACAAGCTATGCAACTGACGTCGCTAATTTCTTGTTACAGCACATTATATTAGTTCACGGTGCCCGCAGACAACTCCTCACAGACCATGCCCGTATATTTCTATCCCAAGTCGTCGCCAACATCCTGCATTCTTGTTCCACGTAACACACACTGCCTACCGCTTGCCAACCTCAAACAAACGGCCTCACGAAACCCTTTAACCGTACTGTCACAAATATGCTCCCTATGTTCGTGTCGCCCAACCATCGAGACTGGGATCTTGCATTACCCTACGCAACTTTCGCGAATAATTCATCTCGTCACGACACAGTGGGCTTTTCGCTGTTCTACCTATTGTACGGAAGAGAGCTGACTTTACCACTGGACACAGTCATCTCAGCTCATACCTCGTCTACCAGCGAGTACGCCTATGATGCAATCACGTGAGCCGATCATGCCCGCTAGCTCACCCGTGCTCGGCTGATGGTGTCACAGACCAACCAACTGCGTCAGTATGATGCCCAGCATTGAGACGTACATTTTGCTCCCGGTATCTTCGTTTCACTTTGGTCTCCTCATCATTAAGTGGGCCTATCAGAAAAACTTTTGTCTCCTTACACAGGGCCTTACCATGTATTGTGTCAAGTAACACCTGTTACCTATGACATTAGCCCCATCTATCCATCATCATCTGCTGTGTAGTTCAGTGATATTGTCCACATCTCGCGGATCGAGCCCTACAAGAGTGTGAGATAACGACCTTTAAAGCTCTGAGACAGTGCCTCCACCGCCGGCGATGATGCGACGCACCAGTGGCATGGAGATGAAGAGGACAAAGATAGACTGGCACGAGCTAATCTGTATCGCTGATGCTGCTTCCTTAACCGGCTGTAAATAAGTCAACTATTTAATATTTAATAGAATATTAGAGAATTAGAATATTAGCAGCATATTAGAGAGATGCCACTGTAACTGATAAAAACATGCAATTTTTCATATCTATACAAATTACAGGACACATGCAAAGAGTCTGAGCTCCGGCCTCATGCTTACAAAGATCTCTATTAGCGATTTAATTAAAAAAATAATATGCACCAAAGCTTCTTAAAATATCACAGTAAATGTTTGACAGGTAGCTAAGTCAGCTTCCTACCTGAGAAACTTGGATCATTTCACACAGCTCGATGACAAACCAGATCTTGGCTTTGCATGGGTTTAGCATGTACTCATCCATCTGTTCATTGAGGACACGTCCAGCTCCATCAGCTTCTGCATTTGTGGCAAGCACCTTTGCACCACATTCGTATGAGGCATAATTACGCCTGCTCTTGCTCCCAGTTGGCTTTTTCTTAGGTGAAGTGCTCTGTACTTCCGGTGGTTGTTCCCCTTTAATATACATTATAAAGAAAGTATTTAAATTCAAACATTCCACAAAACAGCATAAAATAGCATTGCAGTCTGCTAAATATGATGATAAATATTTAAATGCTATGTATGTTTATGTGTGTATATATTGACATAATATATCGCTTAAATGCAATAAATGCAAGTTCCGCAAGATATGGAATATGTAGTCTGCTCTATTTGTTTTGTATCATAGACTGAAGTAAAGGTAAAATTTTCCAAACTGAGGCTCACATAAAAAAAGGTTGGCTGGAGTCGCATATCTGTTTAAAGTGCTTTGAAGCATCTGTAATTGAGAAAATTATCTATACCCTTGTCAACACACATAAACATGGTAAATACTCATGTAGGAATAGAACCTACCAGAGGACATAGAGCACACACAAAAACAAATTAATAAGGGCAATGCACACGAACGTGGAACACCTTTGATATCAGTACTTATTAGGATAACCCTTTCTCAACACATCTGCTTTGGTGGTTCACAAAGATCTCAACATGCTCTCAAATATAAAGTTTTCTCTTACCACCTTTCTCATGCTCGGCCAGCATCTTCTGCTTCCATTCCACAAAAGTGGGCATTTTTTCTGAAGACTCCTTGCGATCGTGGTCAGTACCTTCATCACCTTCTTTTTTCAGCGTGCTATCGGGCAGCTGCTCACTTGGCTCTGTTGCTCCTAGTGTAGAGCCAGGAACAAAACTACCTTCTTCTATTTCTATGGGTTCCCTTGCATTGATGTCTTCTGGGCCCTGCGACTCCTGATCTTGCTTGGTTCCTGGCAAGACTGGTTCCAAAGTAGCTCTAAGTTTTGAAAGTACAGTAGAATAAAGAGCTTATTTTTAGAATATTACACACGAAGAGCGAAAATGTAAATACTGATTCTTTTAGTATAAAAGTTTATATTTCTGAGCAAACAATATAAACATTATAAATGCAAATAAGATATTGCATTAAATAGAAAATTGCATTATTGTAAACGTGTGAAGATCAGCACAGCACCTAGGACATCATACCTGCCTCATCATTCAGTACAAGATTTCAAAGAACTCCAATCCACTGTTCACAGACAAAATAACAGTGTTTATGAGCACCCCCTTAAAAAGAAAAAAAAAATCAGACTCACCTGCCACTCTCGGAACTAGAGCCCAGTGTTGCAGCTTTCACATGCTCTGTGTCATTGGTCTGATCAGGAGCTTGGGTCGTACTATAAGCTAAAGATGCTTGGTCATTTTCTAATGTATATGTTGCTTCCCTAGAAAAAAAAAAAAGAGTGATGTGCCAAATTTAAGCAAAAAAAAAAAAAACACACACTGTTCACCAGAGATCTAGTAAATGGTTCCATTTCATCTAGCAATATATGCACACTCTAAATAATAATCTTGAGAATATGTGTTGTGTAGTGCTCTCATAAAAATAATGTGATAGACCAGGGGCATAGCCAGGATTTCTTTGAAAGGTTTTTAAACAGGGGTGCCTATGTGTGTGTGATATAGGTGCATGTACAACTAAAATAAATAAATTTGCCACCAGTCATCAAGCCCCCCCACCTCCCACTCCTAGCTACACTCCGACTACAAAACACTTTTGAACTTGGTTAAGAGTGCAACACTGTAAGCACAAACACAAGGAAAGAGAAAACAAATAATATACTGCTGACTCTCAAGTAATATTTATTTAAAATTATTGAGAGTCAGTACCGTGTTGTTTGTTTCCTTCTTCCTTATGTCTGTGCTTCTAGTATAGCACTGTTAAAGTTCAAGATGAATCCCAACCAACTGGCCCAACTTGCTATTTTACTACACTAGCCCTCATTAACTCAAACTCGCTTATTCCAAATTTTTTCTCACAGAACATTTACATTCAACAAGGAATTTGCACCCCCTTACCCATAAATGTTTTTGGGGAAATCAAATATATCTCAAAATGTTGACTAGAAGAGCAGAAGGCAAAAATTGCTATGAACTGAAGGGCTTCATCCAAACACCTAGCTCTCACTATATGCCGTATGTGGTCGTGAAAGGAGAGTTCTGAATTCCTGCCGATGGGATAGTTCTCTATCCACAGTCCCAAGCTACCTTTGGGGTAGTCATGTGTGCATCATTATCACGACCATGTGCACGAGCGCTCATGAGTGTTTTATTGGTCAGAAGCTGAATAGCTCTTGCAAATGCACGCAAGAGATTGTTCTTTGTTTTTGAGATTGCCTGTAGGTGTCACAAGAACTTGCTGGACCCCATTGTGCTGTCATATGACAACAGAGTGATGTACGAAATTGATTAGCTGGATGTAGTTCATCTGATTGTCACATCTTTGCGACAAGTCCCCTTTTGGCTATTGAAAGTGTTTTACACAGCAGGATTTTCTCGTGCCTTAGAACAGCTCAGAAGAGACACTGGCAAAGGACACAGTGACTGTGATGAATTGTGCGATGAAGAGGGAAATGCGACTGGCTGTGCTAGTGGCGCCAAAGACGATAAGATCAGTGTTGAGGAGGACAGGCTTTACGAGATAGGTGTGCCCATTAGGCATGCTGTTGTGACACAGCCACGACATCGCAGCCGCACGTGAGCTAGGAAAAGGATGAAAGGGGCGTTACAGTATTGCAGTAGCAGACTATGCGCTGCATGTATCCCCTCTGTATAATTTTGCACATGTGCTCGATTTTCGCCGCCTGCTGTACATGGTGCTGCGGGAAGGGCGAGCAATACACTTGCGTGTCCCTTTTCACAATGAACTGACCTGTGCACGACAAACTGATGCCAAAAGTCAACATCCACCCATCTGTACTTTTCAACCTGCTTAGCAAGTACAGATTATCCACACGATACATTCCCACAGTATGAGCTGTGCACCACCACTACAAAACTGTTACAGTTGAAAATTGAGACAAGGTTGAATGCATTTATAAACAAGGTGGAGCTGTTGGTCAGGCGATGAAGGCATTGATAGGCCGCATGAGCTAGCATCCATGTCTTCAACCTGTTTGGCTTATACTGTGACAATATTATTGAAATTTGCCGTGTAGAGCTGTGTTATAGGATCTTTGTAGCATGCTTTATCTTTTATTCTTTAATTGATGCTTCTCGTATGGCCCCCTGCCTTAGTATACACAAGTGTATAATAATAATAATAATAATAATAATAATAATAATAATAATAATATGGAAGGTGCAAGACTAAAAGAAAAGATCACTTGACTATGGTCTCACCTTTTTCACACATGGTCTAAATAAGTATAAATATCTTATATTAATGAATCAACTATACACAACATCACTGTAAATCATTGAAACTAACCTTGGTTTCTTGTTATCAGCAGAAACAATACTTGCTGCTGGCACGGAACTTTGTTGCCCCTCTTGCTGTGGGTTTTCATTTGAAGATGTAGAATCTAAATCTATACTCTGAAGAAAAAAGGCAGGACAATACTTTCTGTTACTTCACAACGCCTACAATAAAAAATATAAATCTTTAAGTCGCAGTATAGTATCACAGAACAGTTACAGTAAGTGTATCCCACTTTTCCATTAATGTAACTGTTCTTTCATTAAATTCCCAATTAAAACAAATATTTGTTGGGCTACAGACTACTCAAGCCGCCTCTTGGCAACTTTTTTGCCATAGTCCTCTAACTGTAAGTTTGTACAGGACGGAAATAAAATTTTGTTTTCTTTGATTAAAATTTTATTTGATTTATATTATAACGAAAGTGGTTTTGTGCTTTGAAGCAGTAAGAAAATGTCAGACATGATAAGAGTGCTGTTCCTTGCTTTGAGGATTAGCAAGTACACTCAAATCTCGATATAATGAATCAGGATATAGCAAAATATTGGTTATAACAAAGAAAATAAAGAATTGTCTTGCAATATATATAATGTGAGGAATAAACTTTTTAAAAAAATTTTTGCATGTAAAGAACTTATTTTCATGTGTGATGTAACTTTGTTACAATGAGGTTTGAATGTATAGCACTTTAGCACTAGTACACACTATACAACTCATCAGTTGATGGAAACAGACTTGCAAGGCTTTTTTAGGTCAACGACAACACCAGTGAATTATGATGCACAGATTTTACAGTGATTTAAGATGTACTCCATTCATATGTGACAAAATCTGTGCTAGCCATAGTGGCAGATGCATAAGCTGGGCAAAGGAACATAAACCACTCGTAAACAATCAGTAAGGCCCACCAAGATAGACATCGCAAGGCCTGGAGGCACCAATTCTCATTTTACAAAAATTTAAGATTTCAGGCAAAATGAGAAATAAGGAAACACATGATCTTGTGAAAATTTTAATGCTAAAAAAAAAGGCAGAACTGCAAGCCCAACAGGAGAATATATGCATGGCAGTGAAACAAAATGTTTGAATTTCCTTATACTGCATGCATAATGCATAATCCAGATAACATATATGTAAATTTTTCTGTCCAATTATAAATAGACCAGTCAATGTACATCTACTTCTTTTTTCCTATTATTATGTTGATGCTCTCACAAAGCACCGGCTTCTCCTTTGCACAGATTGAATTATTTGAAATTAGACACTTAATGCAGTCCAGTCACATGACACTTAGTAAGTTCACAAACACTAAAGTCACATGGACACTGAGTATGTAGACAATTATTGCTACACATGAAGTCCAATCACATTGCACTCATATTGACAGAAATTCCAGGCATAAGGATACCAAATAAGTTGACACACAAAGTGCCACATAACAAAACAAAGTCAAGTCAAAGAACATTTACATGAAATAAGCAATCTCTAGGCTCTCAAAGTTTTGTCTCCATACCAAGAATACTACTCTCTTTCTGAAGCTTATTTAAAAGGCTCAGGAACCATTTTTCTGGGTGTAATCATTGAATGACTTTGTGATCCAAGTTTATTGCCTCATTAACAGACTGCAGCAAAAATTTCTCTAATCTGTCCAGAACAAGCGACGTTAAAAAGTCTCTTACAAGCTTTAAGTGCGTTCTCTTTTCTCTCATCCTGACGAGCGTGCTGGAAGTTAAGCAGAGAGGAATGGCAGTACATAAAACTTGCATCAGTACGCGTGGTGATCTTATCTTGACTGTGCATAATGAAACATGATCTCTCTCCCTCTCCTATTTTCATTCCTGTTCTTGAGTATGGCTCACTGCGTAATGTTAGCAGTCTATGGCGTGTTACACCTGCACATGGCACCTGTGCCAAGAAACAGACCTTATACAAACGCCAAACTTGATTTTTGCCCGCTATTGCCCAACAGCAGGCTACCTGCTGTACGATCAAGCAGCATGTGCCAGCAGCTCTGAAGTGAGAGAGCACATGCCTCTGTATGAAAACATAACACCCGAGAAAATGGCAAATTCGTGCTCTACTTGTAAGTTCTCCTTGCTTCACACTACTGCAAAGTTTGGCTGCAGTGTTCATAGTAGTGTTTTATATCCACAGGATGCGTTTTCTCGCCGAGCCTGAGGGATTGTTCATGACCCCTTAGGTGACATTAGTTGCTCCTTCTGTAAGACATGTGTAGGCCATGAACCCAGTATCTTCCCGAGACGGAAGGGCCTGCGGTACAGCGTCATTGAATTGCGTAACTGATGTTGTTTTTATGCATGATATACATTCTTCACTGATCTTAGCCTTAAAATTTGTGCCTTGTTATTCATTGTCCCACTAAGTGTCGAAGTCAGGAGCAACATTTTTACTGAAAAAAAAAAAAAGAAACATTAAGACAATTGTTCTAGACATGGCAGGACAGCTTAATGCATCCATGCTAAGAGTTAAAATTCCCCACATATTAAATTGGTGCCTGTGGCTTACTTGCGCTATAACCTCCACGGTAGATGATACAGGTAGCTCATTTGGCTCCTGTGGACGAACAAACTGGAGGTCGTTGGAATGCTCAAGAAACTCCTGCAGAACAGAAGACAAACAGTTCTAAGGAATGTATCGCTGCACACTCTAAATGCTTCACCTAGAAATAAAAACACGCTGATTAATGATGAAGTGAAAATTTTTCCCACGAGTATACTTGAACAGCAGCACAACAACAGTAATGATAATACGGCAATAACCTGTATGTACCATTCTATAAAAAGTTGTTATTTTCGCGGCGTCCTTGAAGCACTCAAGACATTGTAAAAGAAGGATAATTTACTAAGCTTTTAAGCAACATACTAGGCACCCAGGCTACAAACGCCACACAGGCAAAACAGCACGAGTGTGTCTGCTTTCACGTCATCATCTTCCTTCACTATTCACAACAGGGCACATGCATATCGAGGATGCGCTAGCAATTTGCCAATATTCAGCCATCCTGCAGAGCTTAACGTCCTCATTAAGGCACTTTTGACAAAGTTACTTAACTGCAGCAAAGTTAACTAGTTGCTTTTTAATGAAAACACTCGGCCATCCTATTAAACTACTTTCTGAATCACACACGATGTAAACAAAGTAAATAAGAAACAAACAAATAACACACCCAAATAGCTATGCCTATACACTGATGCGTCGAGTTCTCCACGGCACACAGAAGTTCGCCCTATCATAGGGCAAAATTTTAAAGGGAATGCCGTAGTTTCTGGCCTTCTTGACTGGCTTGAACTTGACGAAAGCCGCAACATGCACGATGTCAGTGTCCTCTAGTCTAGACTTCGTATTCGGCGTTTGGCCCATCTGCGGCGAATCTTTCGACGGATTTACTCAGGCATTTCTCATTTTCTCGGGGCCGTCTGCTTCTGTTGGCTTTGACTCGTTATTTTTCTATGGCTCGTTATCTTTCTTTGGCTTGGTCCAGGGCTGTTTGTTCTCGATCTCCTTTATTTCTATCTGCTCTCCGGCAATTTTTCCTACTTCTTTCGAGCCTTGCCTTCCATTTTGTCACCTTGGCTTGGCTGGTCTGCAATCTCATCCTCCTCCTGCTTATCCTTATGGGTCGCTTTTTGTACCAGGGTTTCTTTTTCATCTTCTTCCTTTTTCTTCCCTTCTTTGTCGCCTTTTCCTGCTGTTTCTTCTGCCTTTCCGGGTTTTCCTTCACTCTCTCCACTGCGCTGTCTTTTCTCGCAGCACCAGGTTTGGAGTTCGTCTACTTTCCTTTGCCCTCAGCTTCTGCTTCGTCTTTTGGGTTTCCTGATGCTCCAGCAGACACCTTCGGCTTCGATTCTTCGTCTTCCTTCGTACTAGGTGCTTTGTTATTTCCGAAGTTCTCGTTGTGTGGTGGGGCTTATTTGAAAAGCGGGTTTTTGTGTCTCTTGGGAATTGCATCAGGTGCGACTTCTGGTTCCTGTAGACACTGGGCGTCGCCTGCTTCTGCCATGGTGCTTCTGGTTGAGCACAGACGATGGCCGGTTGCGTAAACTCTATAGCCATGGCAGACAAAGGTAAGACGGAAATGTACCTCGAAATCCTCCCACGATGTGATTTGGGAGCTCCTCGAATGGTACCAGTCCTTGGCAGCTGCAACCAATCGGGCCTTGACAGTTTCTAGCGTGTACGCAGCTGGCCACCCGTAAAGGTCAGACGTTCAACAAATATTCTCAATTCCCTCGCGTGCCGAAGGAGCGTCTTCGGAGCCGCCGAATGGACTGATGTTGAGGCTAAAGTCAGTGACCACCTGGAACGTTGGCGATGGTTGAGGCTGTGCTGCACCGGCCAAAACCAGTCGTTCCAGCACGATTGATAACAGCCTGCCCTTTTTTTGAATAAATTAAAGTAAGTCGTGAGCCGTGATGTTGTCGCCATGGCCAGGTGCTGCGTCTCCACCGCCAGTCGGATTGACAGTCAGTGCGTTCCATCTGAGGGTTAGGGTAACCAGTTCCATGCAACGATGAACTCACATTTACTCTTCTTTTGGCGACTGGATGACCATACCACTTCTGAAATCTTAGTCTTCATGGTGTCCTTGAAGCGCACAAGACGTTGTAAAAGAATACTTTACTAAACTCTTAAAGAACGCATTAGCCACACAGGCTACAAGCGCCACACAGGCAAAGCAGCACGAGTGTCTCTGCTTACACGTCGTCGTCTTCCTTCACTTCTCACAACAGGGCATGAGCATATTGCCGTGACAGGTTGGCCACGTTCAAGTAGCCCGCCGCAATCATCGTGGCATGAGCACCAGGCAAGACCCCGCTGGCATGCGCCATGCCCTCCTGCGCTCGAGCTACGAGGAAGAGGAAGACAGCTAAATCTGTGCAACTAGACTACTCGGACTTAGACGACCATAGTCATTACACTTGTGGGCACAAGTTCGCCCTAATGAAGACACTTGTTTAAAAAAAAAAACACACACAAGCGTCTTTATTAGAGCAAACTGTGCCCATGGGTCTAATGACTATGGTCGTCGAAGTATGAGTAGTCGAGTTGTACAGATCAAACTGTTTTCCCCTTCCTCGTTGCCCGAGCGCACGAGCGCATACCAGCTGGGTCTAGCCTGGTGCTCGTGCCGGGATGATTGCGGCAGGCTACTTGAACGTGGCCAACCTGTCGTGGCAATATCGCGGATGTGCTAGCAATTTGCCAACAAAAATGTGAATCAGGAGTTTGAAAAAACCAGAGCTTTCTATTAAAGAAGAAAGGGCAGGTAGCAGTGGACATAAATGCAAGTTCAAATAAGCGAAAGAAATGTTTCATGCCAGTAATTTTTTATAGTACTGGTCTATGTCAGACATTTGTAATGAATCTATCAATATCTGAAAACCCTGCCTTTAGGAGAATGTTGTAGCCAAGAAATTACATTTTTTTTTGTTTTTGAAAATAATGTAGACCATGGCTTAATCCCTTTTGCATAAGGTAAGTAAACATCAGCAGACTAAAGAGGTCAACTTTGCGAGAGGGTGTATAAGTGGCTGGATGGAGAGAAAAGGAATAAGTTGACTTTAACAACAGCCGAATAAATATAGTGACTGAGTTGAACTGTGCTTAAGCAAGCTGAGTAAAAATGACTGAGTTGAACAGTGCTTAGCAATCTTGTTGCCTTTTGGAATACAGCGGCTGCCACCTTCTCAGAGCTCATTCTAAGGGGCTGCAACTTTTGGGTCATGCGCAATCCATGGGAAGCCATCGTTCACGCTTTCTAGCTCAGCTTCAAGAGTGAAACATGACGAGACGGAGGGCATGAGTAAAGCTAAGTGGGTGAGAGGGCAGCCTAGTGTAGTTAGTTCAGCTTGGTAGAGAAAGGGTCGTGATCTGGAGAAGGTGAAGCTGGGCCTCACAAGAGGTGGAGAGCAAAGGCAAAGCTATGACGAGTACGAAGCAGGTGGTGTGCAGAAGAGGAGAGAGCAGGCCCACGGCTGGCTGTGCCAGTGAAAAGTGTCGACCAATGGCAGTGCACAATCAAGCACAGGTGGTGCTGTTTAGAGAGAAACACGGACGTGCCGAGCATCGGCAAAGACCGAGGAAAGGCATGCCGATTCTAACAGCTTTACCCTTTATGCGGCCTTTGAAATTTATTCTTTTCCTGGAGGAAAACTAATACCCTCAGGTTTTCATGACAGAGACACTTGTAGTTCAAAAATAAAATCCTGGATGGAGGCTGCTCTACACCTCTGCTTGTCATAAGCCAACATTATTTACAAAGCCCAGAGCAATTTTGTTGTTGCTGGTCTTTACACAAAGTCAAAGAAACAGTCAATTCGATCTTGCCGGTTGGTACATGATACGCTATACTAACTAAATGTGTACTTTTCCAAACAACAAGCATAACCACCTTCATAATTTAAGATCCCTTTTGTAATATACTGAACACATTAATTCAAGCAATGCAACTATTTTTTTCAACGTAATGACTAGCTGAAGCTTTCTGTCCTATGTGTATACAGTACTTTGCTACAATTTCTTTCCCTATTAGAAAGAAATATATGCATGAGTGTGCATTGATTTTTACATACATACCAACAAACAAACACACGTTGTGCATTCATTCTCTCCTCATTTCAAACCAATTTCTCTTTCATGTTCAGTATAACGTAAATGAACCAAACAATTCGTTGTCTTGTTTTAAGATGGAACATTTCCTACCTTAATTGGGGTCTCAGCCTCCGAGACGGGCACAGCAGCAGCGTGATTTGCATGTTGAGCTCCATTGGTCCTGGCAATTTCACCAAGCCCACTATCAGTGTCCTCCTTGCAGCAACAGGTGCATCTGAAGAATATCAGATTGATAAATAATTACCACAGACTCACCACACTTCTCTTTCTTCACACCCATTGCATACAGGCAGGCACATGGGCATTTAGAGAATGACAAGCATCGCCAGCAGAAATGAACCAGCCATTCGAACAACTGAATAATATTAATGAGCTTAATAATAATAATAATAATAATAATAACAACAATAATAATAATAACTGTAGGGGTTTAACGTCCCAAAACCACTACATGATTACGAGAGATGCCGTAATGGAGGGCTCTAGAAATTCCGACCACCTGGGGTTCTTCAACGTGCACCTAAATCAAAGCATACGAGCGAGCCTCAAGCATTTTGGCCTCACTCGAAAATGTGACCGCCGCAGCAGGGATTCGATCTGGCGACCTGCGGGTTAGCAACTGAGTGCCTTAGCCACTAGACAACCATAGCGGGTCTTCGTACTACCGAAAGCTTGAGAGAAAATAAGCATTGGGGTTTAACGTCCCCCCACCTCACGCCCACCCCAAAAAAAAAAAAAAAAGAAACGTTGGGAGAGACCCAGTAATTATGACCATGACATTTGTTGTTGGTGGCAGTTAATTTCAGGAAAGGTGAAGCAGCAGGAAGAAGCAGTTGATGCACAATTTCTGGAGCATAAACATCGCAATGGCAATAATGATTTATCATGGAAAGGTCATCAACCCATCACCATGACTGTTTTCTGGTAGTTACACTTCAAGTGGTATTCTTCAGGGCTCAACTCACAAGAAGACAAGTCTACTTGCAGAAACGTCGGCTCTAACACATGTAGTTTGCAAATTTTTGATGACAAGCTTTCATACTGCCCCGACTTCAGGATTTCACGAATATAATTCTGTTCACTTACAGCAGTTAACATTTCAAGCATGAGACAGCTGATGCTCAGTTTCTTTTCTGCTCCTCAGGGTTCAGCAATGTACCATGCAACTGGCAATATCGCGCGCGCGCGCGCGCACGCACGCACGCACACACACACACACACACACACACACACACACACACACACACACACACATATATATATATATATATATATATATATATATATATATATATATATATATATATATATATATATATATTGCTACCAACAGTTCTTTAATCAACATGCGCTGAAGGAGCACATGCTCAGGTCCTGAGAGAAAGTGAAGGGAACCACAGCAAAGGAAAGCAACAGAGTCGGCAAACGCACGAGAGATGCGCGAAAAGGGAGACCGCAGCTGCAAGGACTCAATCACCTCTGCGGTGCCGGCCGGTAGGCGTCGTCGACGCGCAGCAAGATCAGCCTGAACGCGCACAGCACCCAGCAGACGCCGACGACGTTGACGCTCTTCATCTAACGCCTCCTCCTCCTCGGCCAAGCACGTTCTCCAGCCGGCTCGCCACTCCGCCGAGCCGCGCACGCAACCACTACGGCCCGCGTACTCTATACTGCCGCCGCCAAAGGCGCACAAGTACAGACCGGGCGGGCAGCGTGTCCCGCCTCGCCTAACGGGAACCCAGTTTTGACGTATATGGACAGAGCAGCCAGAACCCTCTTCCCTCCCCTATTCCAACGATGTGCAGACCCCTATACTAATAGCCACCATACCCGCACAACTGTAACTGCCCGCGTGATGATGCGGCGAGCAAGCAACCAGGAGGACATTCTTCATCGTGCAATCAACCGCAGCATAACAAACAATAAGGTAGCTCATCTCAGTCACACGCACGCGCGCGGCGGACGCGGGCACACTTCGCGACTCGCAGCTGCACGTCCGGCATGTGTACGGATGTGTACCACGCACACCTGCGGAGACACGCGAGTCGAGACGCTCGCCAGTTGAAAACAGACGAAGCTTATACGTTGGTCTGTCTTCGAGGTTTCAGAAATTTTTTTTTGCAATACTATTGAAGAAAAAAAAACCGATGGCGGAACTGTCAGATAGAGCGTAAACACCACACATGATTGTATTACGCAACCAACGCATGAACGACAAGGAATTTTAAGGGTCGATATAATCTGTTGATATAATCTTAACGAAAACCATCAGATCACGAAGCACGTTAATTGTGCTGTTTTAGCTTTACTGTATATACACATAATCAAGACGAAAGCGGCAGAAGCAACTTGCCTCCGGCAGGGCGCGAACCCGTAACCTTCGTTCGGACAGTTCGATGTCTGCTCTGCCCTACTCAATGTCGGGCGCGTTATCCGAAGGTTGCAGGTGTGGTCTCCTGCCGGAGGCAAGTTGTTGTTTCTCCCACTTGACTTTCTGCACATCTATATCGTAATTACACAGGAACCTTCCTACGTCGCAGTGTTGTAAATGCAACGCAAGAGGACGCGGAAAGCCAGGGAACACCACACAACACCCGGGATGCCCATTTCTATTGACGGCATACATTTCAGAAACAATTTCGATGTTCCAAGCAGTCAACCACGGGCATTTAATTTCAAAATTCAACCATTTTAAATTCCTGAATATCTGCGTACTTGTACCAATTAGTAATATGAAAAAAAAATAGTGCGACATAAGCCTGCCAGGTGGCGGAGTCGAGTTTCGACGGCTTGATCGGCACGATGAGAAATTCCAGAGGTGAAAAAAGACATAATTTAATGGTAGCGCGAACAACTCCAGAAAAGGTATTAAAAAAATCTTGCAAATAGCGGCGCAGGTTGCAATCCTTTTGCGGCAGACACAAAGGGTTGGCGAGCACACGGGTCTCACGGCAAACTTGCGTTCTGGCCATGCAGTACACATTTGATTTATTCGGTTATTATCCAGGTTACAAAAAGTAATTACAGGTTGAAACCTTTATTTAGAAGCAACGTTCACGGGCTAAGCATCAATTATGCTTTTTTCTTCTCTCTCTCTCTCTTTCAAATTTCATGCCCCATAAGCTTTCGTTGTTGCATTGTCCTCTTACGTACGTGTAGAGCTAGCGCGATGCGCTGGTTCAGCTCGTCGTTGTGCGCGCATCACGCCAACAGTGCGACAGGTCACACGTACGTTCGCTTGCATAGAGAGAGATATATTCACGCCGCGCGCACGCGTGAGACCAGCACGCTCGTTAATTCACTTAGTACTGCCTTGCCAAGGATATCGGCAGGGGAGTGCAAAAGGGGCACTTGCCCCCCCCCCCCCCCCTTCCCAATCCACCCAAGCAGCACCCCTTCCCAATCGCTATGCAACAAGTGTTCGACACCCCAAGACAAAATCCTGCAGCCGACGCCTGTATGTTTCATGTGACTCCAATTATCGATAAATCTACGGAGCTTGTAGTTCCTCCGATTTACGATGCGTTGACGCCGCTATCAACGTTCCGCCTTTCGGGCTAAACTTAAGACCTTGAAACTCCAGCGGCGCCAGGTCGATCTCGTTCGCAAGCGATACGCAAGGGCGCTTCAGAGGTTTTACAACCCGAAGTTACACGGGCCGCAAATAACAGGAAACGCGAACGGACGAAAGCGCGGTGCGACTGCTTCGCGTACTCGGTGCAATACTCCTTCTGGTAACGGCTTGCTATTCAAGATAACTTTCGCCGCTGTACATGGCAAGTCTATTTTCCGAAAATAGGCGAATTGCAACGACACGGTTCTAGAGAAGTTTGAAGGCGCGGCGGGAGCCAGGCATGTTCTACCACCTTGCTCTCCTCTACACTCTTCCACACTCCGACTTCCGAATTTGAACTTCAACTTTTAGTCCCTGACCTCATCATAAAAGCCATTTTGGAGCTGCAAACTTTCATTTTATTAAACACAATCTTCTCACACACACGCGCGCGGCCTCAATGAAGCGCTCGTCTAGAGGAAGACTCCACATTTATTTTTTTTTATCCCCTCGTGCAATCTTGTTATGCGCACTAAGCAGAGCGCAAAGGAGTACCGCATCATCCGGATTCCAAGACGCCATCTTCACCGCAGGGTCTTGTTTCAAAACAGTGCTCTTCTGTTTCTGTTGTTTTGCGATGCTGCTATTGGTTTCTTATGAGTTTTTTTTTTATTGAGATGCTTTATTTTTTAAAGCGTGCACCAGCCGGAGGAGAGTGTAAGAAGCGTTAACTATAAGAGTTAACTGAATTTAAGATGGTCAAAAATAAAATTGTCAGATCGTAGAAAATACCACTTTGCACCACCACACCTTGAGTACCCCGACGCCTTCTTAGTTCGCCCGACCCTCGCATTCTGCGAAGCTGGGGAGACTTTTTTTTTTTGTCAGAATTCGTTTTCGGGACCAGTAGTCCAGTCGCTCTTCGATGATCAAAATAATGTGTACCATCGTCATCTCGCTGCAATTCTACAGGCCTGTCGAACGATAGTTATTTGTTGAAATCCAAGATATTACCTTTCTTTACTTGGCCAGCAAGGCTGTGCGAAACCACTTTGCTGCCTAACTGTGCCGGGGATCCTCAAACATTTTTGCGCCTAAAAACCAAAAGGTGTCGCACACGATTTCAGACCTCCCCCACCCCCTTTTTTTATGGCCTTTCGTTGCTAAAGCAGGCGCTTAATTTGTTGATCAAGACAGCATATTACGCACATATAAATCCGTTTGAGGGCATGTCCGATAGAATTTTTGGCCCGACACTGGCCCGAGATACAAAATTTAGAAGCCTGAAAAGGAAACAAATTTTAAAAAACGGAAATAAACAGGTACCCATGAAATAGCAGCCAGACAGGACGGCCAACAGTGTTGTAGATGAGTGGTCAGCAATGCACCCCTCCCCCCTTCACCTTTCACCCGTAGTTGACACTTATGAACTATATAAATAAACGTTGGACGGTTGAAACGTTCACAAAATGCACGCGGCGTTTTTTCTCATGCCGCTCATTTTGACCTTTGACAAGTACTGGCTCAAAGGTGCCACATGTTGCTGAGCTAAAACGGTGGCGATGCTGAAGTTCACGCGCCAATTCAGCCTGCCCGCTCAGAATGAGGCAGCCAGCCTTCAGATTTGCCAATAGCCATCGCTCTGTAAGGAGGAGCCCACA